TGTCTGGAAAGTTTGTGAAAGTCAAGTTGAGATCAGGCAGAGCATGTTCCAACTTAAATGTAACTAAATTATTAAGTTATCCACATTTTATAGCTGTTCCCACTAGAAGAATGCTTTTTAGATTTTCTTTTTTAGTAGGCCATTGAATCTTTTTTACTTTATGGAGCGGTAAGAAATGCATGAAGGCATTTGAATTTAGAGAGGTTGTCTTGCATGTATATCTGAGCATTGGCATTTCGAGTCTATAAAATAAATTGACAGTGAATGTTTTATTTACCTGTTAGAATCACAGCTCGATCATCAAGTAGCATTTGGCCAGATATATTAGAATAGACGATGGCATATAAATGGAAGAGGAAAGCACTTAATCAAAACGATTGGTGTGCAGATCGCATGGGTATTTTAATGCTTTAGACAACAACCTGTGTTTATAACTCAGATGCAGAGATTATTTGAAAAGTAAATCTACCGTCCTGCGTCTTTTTTTTTTATTTGTTGTTGTAACCAGCAAAAGAATTCCCTTGGTTATTAAAAGTGGTCTAGTTGCAGAATTGTTCTAATACTTCGCCTGTCTAAATGGCCAAGCTCTTTGATAAAACTGGCAAGCATGAATGACAGGCGCACACCCAAGGTTAGACTGCAGTGTTGGCTTCTCCCTGGCTTTCTCTCCCTTTAAGCCTCCCTTTCATGTGTAGCCAAGTGAAAGTCTCCGAGTGAAATGTAAGCTCTGCGGAACCCCAGGGGCCCTGGCCCGATGAGAGGATCCAGAAGCAGAGCAGCCGTTTAGAAAGCCTGCGGAAGGCATGGAGGGCAGAGGCCTCGGGTGCTGACATGACTCCCAGACCTTTGAAAGGAGATGAATGAGGAGACTTCGCCTCCCTGGGCTCTGGGATGTATTTACCCACCAGAGTAGTCCCAGGTTTTCAAACCTATTGTTTTGGGCTTTAGCCTTCAGATGTTGCAGAAGGAAAATGTGTTCTTTTATTGCTCTTCCAAGTGGTTTAACCATTTATCCTTAATCATCTGCAGTCTGGGTGGGAAGAAGTCTTCTAAAGATCACTGAACTTTGCTTGATTTGAAATCAGAGGAGAAACTCGTTGCATTTCATGTGGGAAACCTTCTTTGGAGAAACTTGACACAAACTGGCTTTTCAGTGTCTTCGAATGTAATTGAAAAAGAACACCATAGAAAAACACTGCCAGATGCACACATGTCTGCTCCTGGGTTAGATTGCCATAAGCTTCATGGCTCTTTCTCTGTGGTTATTGATCATGGAAATAACCGTGGCAGTCAGCATTTAGCAAGTCAGTGTGAATTAATGAACTTTGGCTTGCATCACAGGGCTGCAACCCTAGGCTAGCCATAATGTCTACCGCTGTTATCATAATACATTTTTGCCTTGCCACTTGCTCAATTAAGAAGACTTGATGGTTTTAGAAGCACTTAATAGACTTGCATTGTGGAAAAGTTAATTCATCCATTAGGCCACTGGTGTAAGGATGTGATCTATAAAGCAATACATTTCCTCGGGTTCCCACAACAGCATATCACAAAAGGACCATACTGCGGGTCGTTTGGGAACTGTACAGACCCTTCAAGGCACCGTGCAGAAAGGTTTCTAAGAGTACTAAGTCTGAATCTTGGTGCATGGATTTGGCTGGCATAGATTTGGGCAGAGTAGGCCAAATAGAGCTAATTGAGGTGGGGGAAGATTGAGTGAATGGGCCATAATGGTGAATAGAGTTATTTGTCATTGAGTTTGTAATAGGATTTTCAATTAATTCATGCAGGCTTCCAGTGCCTTCCATTAGCCCTGTCAAGATGAACTACAGCCCCATCTAAAATGCCATCCCCTATTAAACGGTGCGTGTCAGTGAATTTGTAATTTCTTCTGTTCAACCAGAAGATGAATGGGTCCGACTCAGAAAACAAATGGGGTGCTTCAGAAATGCACATTTCCAAATCCTCACCCCTTTGTAGGGAGGGGCATTCTCTGCATTGTTCTGTGGTGAATATATATTAAAAACTGTAATTGCCACGTGAATGCATCCAAAGGGAAGAAAGCATCTAGCAGTGTGGAGAAAAACACCTCGGCAGGTGTCCATCTCGTACCAGGCGACGGTTGTGGTGGTTATGGTAATGATAATGTTAGCGTGTGGCATTTCCTGCCTTCTGGGCCATTTTGAGGGACTTAATGTACATAAACTCACTAAATTCCAGTCCAGATGAGGCACAGAGAGGTTAACCTGTGTAACCAGGGTCACACAGCTAGTACACGAAGGTGCTGGGATTCAAGATGTGGATTCTGTTCTCTCTGAATCCGTCTCATGAACCACATGAGTTCATTGGGTTCTCACCTGCTTTCTCCTTCTAGCTTCCCCTCCCCCACAGGAACAGCAACACTTCTTGCTGTGTTCATCCACTTGGATTTCTTCAAACCTATCTCAGGAAAATGTTGTTAAGTGGTGACAACCGGATTTCCCCAAAAGACAGACGTGGTAGGGAATTTCATCAAGCCTAGGTGAGGAGAGACAAAAATTGAAATTCTGCCTTGCATGAAGTTGGGTGCTGAATGGAATGTGGACCAGGTTTGTCGTGAAGGACCAGAGTTCCTGGATTTGTAGGGAGCAAGAGGGAGCAGTAGAATTACATGTCAGGTTGTGTGAAGGCTGTGTAACTAGGGTTGGGTCATTCATTAGAGGCCAGGTCTTAAGGCAGGCATTAAAAACATTAATAGGAAGTTCTGTTGCCATCAAAGGTATACAACTGTGACAACACTTTGCCTTTCGTTTTGTTGTTGTTGGGGAAAGTATGGAGAAATAATATGAGTAATGTGACTTACTAGAATGATTAAAGTTTCAAGCATTTCATCCAGGTGCTGGTGGTTCACGCCTGTAAATCCTAGCTCCTCAGGAGGCTGAGATCTGAAGATCAAGGCTCCAAGCCTAGCCAGGCAAGAAAGTTCATGAGACTCTTATCTCCAATACATTACATACACAGACTGCTCATAAAAGCTGGAAGTGAAGTTGTGCTGGAGCACTACTAACCTGAGCTAGTAGAGCTCAGGGGTCAATATCCTGACAGACAGACAGACACACACACACACACACACACCACAGAAAAATGAAGGATTTTTAAGCCAGTAATTCACCCGGGGTTGTTACCCACCCACCCACTACAGGTCTGTTTTCCAGTCTGCTGAACTGCCTGACACCTGATCATACCCTGTCTACTGGTGCTTCCTATAAGGGACTTAATCATTGCTCACAAGATCCAGCAAGCTCTTTAAGTTGTTGACCTGCCACACAAGACCCATCATGAACCAGCTGTCTCTCCTATATGTCTGGTTCTTTCATTCTTCCACAGGATTGTCAGGATCTTGGTGAACCTTGGTCGTCCTGTCTGCCATGCTACTGCTCACAAGCATACATCCCCCTGCCAGGAGTGTTCCCCCCTTTCCTTCCTCCACTCCAGCTTTGCCCAGCTGACTCTTAGGTGTCATCTAAGAACTGGGCAGTGTTTCATTTCCACCCCCAAACCTCAAGTTCATCAACCACGTCTGCAGCTCTTCCTTTGCATTTCCTACACTGTGTTACCATTTCTGATGTCTTATCTCTTCAAAACAAAAGAACTGAGCTGTGTTCAGTCCTCAGCCTTAGCACAGTTGCTGGGGGGAATGAATGCATAAAGAAAGAGTTGAGAAAAGGGAGCCTCCAGCGTAATTCAAGGAGTTACTACAGGCATGTTTGATTTACCATTTATCCTTTGAACCAATGATAGGCTCCAGAATGCCCAGAGGTATTCACGCGCCAGCGAATGCTCATGGATGGACACTTTAGTGCATTTCCAAGTATTATATTTAATCCATTTCATGATTTAATTGCTTTGGAGTGGGGTCACACAACTTTACCATAATGCAAGGCAGTAACATTTAAATCTCCTCTCTTAGCTCATCAGCCTAACAATGCTTCCCAAGCAGGAAAGGCCAAAGTTGAGTAATAGTTCATTGGAAAAGACAGAATACTTACAGGTTACGGGAAGGGCTGGGACTGCCTTACTCATTGTTGGGTTCCGGTCTTGGGCATACGACCCGCCTCTGATAAATACTTGTTGAGTTTCTGAGACACTGTAATGTGCTGTCCACATTAGAAGCTGTATCGGCAAATGTTCACTCAGACTTACTCTTGATCTCTCTCTTTTTTTTAAAAAATCAGTCATGCTTAAGAGCAATTGGGAAACCAATAAGTGGTACTTCTGTTTAAGATTTTTTTTTCCCTCAGCACTCACCATTGATCCTAATAAAGTAGTTAGATGAAGTTTGTTTTTATTTTAATGAATTTTAAAATTTCATACTAGAGTCAGGCCCAACGATTATACTTTCATGTACTAATAATACCAGGCCAACAGACTAGAATTCCCACTACGTTAAATCTAGGAATAGAAAGCTAGATTGTGGCTGGTGCACAGATAACCTTCTGTTTTAAATCTTATTATTAAGATTTGCTTAATAGTGATTATTGATTGGTAACACGTGAGTTTTTTTTTTCTTTTATGGGGAGGAGGTTTCTGGGGTTTGAACTTGGGGCCTTGCACTTGCTGGGTAGGTGCTTTACTGCTTGAGCCATGCCCTCACTCCCAACCACAAGTAGCATTTTTGCCCTGGTGGTTCTGGATAACAGTATATTTACTCTTCCTTCATCGCTAGGATGATAGGATGTGTGCCACTGCCGCCTGGCTTTCTCATGATTGAAATAGGCTCTCACACTTTTACCTAGCCTCAAACTGCGACCCTCCCAGTTTTCACCACCAGCGTCTCTCAGATTATAGATATGAGCCACCATGCCTGACTGCAAATAGTTTTTTTTCTGCAAGACTTACTTCCAAGTGCAATGTGTGGATAGGACCTTCATGTAAAGACAGTGATTTGTGTAGTTGTATCGTTAGAGATATTATTAGACTGTTTGTTCATTAAAATCCATCTCTTTCTCTCTTTCTTTAAGGGTATACCTCAGTTACCATGTGCCAAAGCATTATATAACTACGAAGGAAAGGAGCCTGGAGACCTTAAATTCAGCAAAGGAGACATCATCATTTTGCGACGACAAGTAGATGAAAATTGGTATCATGGAGAGGTGAATGGAGTCCATGGCTTTTTCCCCACCAACTTTGTGCAGATTATCAAGCCGTTACCTCAGCCCCCACCACAGTGCAAAGCACTTTACGACTTTGAAGTGAAAGACAAGGAAGCAGATAAAGATTGCCTGCCATTTGCCAAGGTGAGGTTGCGGGGAGATTGCTTTCCGTTCCCCTGTGAGGCTTCCCTCTGTGGAATATGGATGATATTTCCTCTTGCAAAAAGATAAAACTTTGTGCCAACTATCTCATTATGCTTCTAAAAAATACCTGTAGGTCTTCTCCTTTGAGTCTTAAGGGAGATAATTCTGTCCTTTGACCCCTCCTGTGAAAGATCATTCTGGTTGATACTCTGCGTGACATGATTTTAGAGCATATTAGAGCTACCGTTGATTTTGAAGGGTATGTATACTACCCAGGGATGGTAAAGGACTGAATTGTGAAATGGAAATATCATGACTTCCTTATTTTATATGCAGATCTCTTTGCTGAAAAGCACATGCAGGAATCTGTTTACTAAATTGATAAACAGTTTGGAATTTTGAGCAGAATATGGTGTTTTTGTGAAGAAAAGCAAGTAGGCGGTGCAATTCAGAGGGCAGTTGGTATGTTATCAGAGGGAGAAAGTAGGGAGCATGAAAGCGATTTAAACAAAAAGTCCAGATGTTGTTGAGTAGCCTTTGAAGTTGCAATTTCTGGAAATCAGTAAGATAAGCATCCAGCTCCTTGCGTAGACAGTGATAGTTTACAGCTGTCTACAACTTTGGATTGAGATTGATTGATTGGTTGATAGTTATCATTTAGTTCAAGAAAACTATAGAGCTATGTACTAAAGATAGGCTGTAGTAGTTTTGTTCATATATGCTTAAAGCTTCAGTGCTTTCATTGAGAAGGAAAATTAAATGATAAATTGAATGGGAGCAGGGAGATTCACAATCCACTGTTTCTTATAGGATGATGTTCTGACTGTGATCCGCAGAGTAGACGAAAACTGGGCTGAGGGAATGCTGGCAGACAAAATTGGAATCTTTCCCATTTCATATGTGGAGGTAAGTCTATCTGGAACATCTCAACTCCTATTCGTATTCAGCTTAGTAAATGAATCTTAATTATGCAATCTGAATATTAAGAAGCTCTGGCACCCTGAGGTCTCAGGAAGACCCTGTTTGGCATCAGTGAGCAGATCAGGAAGAATTCCCTCATTCTGTCTTTCAGTTAACAGAAACTGAAATGTTTGAAACTCTTTTTCCTTTGTCTCCTGGCTGAAAGCATTCCTGTGCCTGTTCAAGGTATAGTATGCTTGCTGTCTTCTCATTATACTATCTCCAGATTTTTCTCTTCCATTTGCTGGTCTTGGCATCAGACTGTAAAAGTTCTTAAGTGAGCGGGAGTGTGACTCAAGAGCAGCACCTGCCCTGCCAGGCCCTGAGTTCAATTCCCAGTATTGCCCCCAAACAAACAAACTAGTAAGTAGGGTTCTAAGTAAGGCAGGAAATTACTGTATTTGTTTCTTTCTTTCATTGTCGGTCACCTCATCAGAATTAGAACACAGTAGCGTCGTTCTATTATGTTAAAGGAAAGCACAAATTAAAGATGAACTAAGGGAGTTTTGAACTCCTAGTTCTTTCCCTCTTTTTCTATTTCTCCCAGTTTTAACCCTGCTATATACTAAAATAAATCCGTGCTAAAACTTAAAAACAAACAAAAATGAACTAGGAAGGTACTCTTGACACACCCGTCCTTCATTAAGGTATATATCAAAACGTATTCTTTAGTAAGAAGCAGTTCTTGAGGAAGACAAAGCTGAAAGCATTTTACAAAAACAACAACAACAACAACAAAACGAACGCACAGTTGAGCCCACCCCCCAGGATGGCTGAGGGGTCAGGGCTAGCTGGCAATATGATGACTAGCTTGTGGTTCTCCAAGAGAAGTCGGAAAGTTGTGTAAAAACTAAAACTAAGAGCAAGCACAGATCATCAATTGACTGGGACTGAAAGGAATTCTGTTGTTTAAAATGTCCAAGCATCTATCTTAAGCATATTTAAAAAGAAAAATTCAGTATCACTTACTTGCTGTGCTTTTGCTCTGAGGCATTTGTTCTGGCATGATTGTGAAGAGCAATGTGACAAGACATGTGTCGTGGTAGCTAGCACTCGGTTTCCTGCTTAGACTCGAGGTTGACAGAGCCTTCATCCTGTCAGTTTGACTATTCTCCATCCTTGGAAAAGGAATTGAAATGAGCTACGACTCTTGAATGGTATTCCTACCCTTGAGAGGTTCTTGTGTGTCCAAATATATTCTTCTTGCTTTCAAAGTAAACAACAGAAAATGATCTTTCACATACAATCCCTTTCATACTTTATTTACATATTCTAACTGTGGGTCATGGAAAACTACAAGCATCCTTACGTAGTTGAATGGTTATGCTTAAGAGTACGAGTCATCACAGGTGGGTAGCAGAGGCTTGCCTCTACTTGTCAGGTATTAGCAGTGTGACAAGCCCATGCTTCATTTGTGATGCATGTAAAGGTAGTCAGTCCTCTGGTTTTGTTATTGGGCAGGTGAAGACGGCACGGGTTGGCAGGGATAGATCTGCCCATGTCTAGAGTCATTGAGTCACTTAGGTTATTGAAATTATGTACTCAGATGATTAACTCCAAAGGGTAAACTTCTGCCCAAGTGGAAAGTATGTTTGTGCTTTTTGCCTCTTCTGTTCGATGAGCATCAGAATGTGCTAAGCAAGTCATCTGTCTCTAGGAACTATGAAGCATCTCTTTGATGTCAAGCTATCAGTTGAAGCTCCAGGAGCTTCAAGGGATTGGCATCACCTGCTTCCGCCCCCAGGGGACTGAAGCGGAGGCAGATTTCCATCACCACCCACCACGATTCAGCTGTGTCAGTAGTGTTCGTGTCTTGCAGGACCCTTTCAGACGGGGTGTAAAGAAAACTGTAGGAATCAGACTAGAGCTTTGTTCTATGCGATGATCTTTGCTTTTGCTACAGAACTATTCATTCTGGCCTGTGTTAGGGCCTACGTAGTTCCCAATATAAAAGCAGATTGTGTTACCAAAATTTAGTGGTAAATAGTTTTACTCTACTTTCCGTTTCTCCCTCCCTCTTTTACTCTTTCCCTCTCCTTTTCTCCATTCTTATTTTTCTCCGGTTCATTTACGTAACATTGTATTATAGAATAGACATAATGTTAGGTGAATTTGGTTTTTTTTTAATACATTTTTTATTGTAAAAATACTGTACAGAGGGGTTACAGTTACATGAGCAAGGTAATGAGTACATTTCCTATCAAGCATTGTTGCCTCCTCCTTTGTTTTAACTTTAGGGTATTGTGAGAGACTGGGATATTTTTATGTAGAGTAGGTTAGAACTTAATGTTCACTAGATTGAATATATTAAATACACACCTCTCTTAGATTATACATTACCATCAATGTACTGGACCATAATGATACAGGCAGTTGAGCATCTGGATTTAGAGGGAACAGTGTCCAGTACATTGTAGCAAATACTAAGTGCTTACTCAGTAAGGAAGAAACAAAGGCAAAAGCATATCTTGAACTGGAGCTGGACTCACATTCACAGAAAGGCAGGTCTCACGAAGAACCACAAGCATGGGATGAAAGTAAAGGCAAATATACCCAGTCAGGGTGTCTCTAGAATTGGCAAGAACAATAGGTTTTGAACCAAAAAGATGGCTAATACACGGAATTGCTCAGGATTGGGATTCCCTTCCACTCTACTGTTCCTCTAAGACCTATTGTGATTTCACAGTAGATTGCTTTGTTTTTGTAGACAAGCTTTCACTATGTAGCCCAGTCTAGGCTTGAAATCATGTTTCTCCTGCCGTAGCATCCAAAGGATACAGGGACTACAAGCATGAGCCACCATGCCCAGCTCAACTACTTTTCTTACATCTTATAAACCAATGTTTAAGTCTCTGTAGATGTTGATGCTTTTGCTTCCCCCCATACACACACACACATTGCTGCCCCCTAACAGTTCTCTGCCAGAGGTTTTGAGATGACTGAATGAGGAAATAAACCTCCAAACCGCTGGAGCTCAGATTAGACTATATAACCACAGTGAGTCAGTGTAATGATCAAATCAGAGAGAAAAAAGCCATCCAGAACTGGGTGCAAAACCTCCAAAGCCATGTTTTTTGCAGAAGCTAAAACTCCTTTTGGTAAAGGAAATGACCAAGGATTTGCTCGTAGCACAGATTCTACCTAGGTTATGTCTGAGTTTAGGATTACAGAACCTCCGAGGGTCAGAGGTTCAGAGATTGAAGTGTCAGATTAGGGGAAAGGCATGGAAAAGAGTTTAATATTGGTGAGGAGGGGTCTGGGTTGGGGGCAGGAGAGAGATGGTATCGATTACCTTACCTTGCTGTTTTCAAGACCCTCCCCCCACCTGGGTGGGAGGAAGGTGGCATTATAGTGATGCCCTCTTATCAAAGAATGCAAAAGTTCTTCAAAGATTGACTAGAGATGGAAAGTCTTTGGTTGGAGAGAGGGAGTAGGAGAAAGAAGGGCTGCATAGCTAGGCGTCGGTGGCTCACGCCTGTAATCCTAGCTACTCAGGAGGCTGAGATCTGAGGATCATGGTTCAAAGCCAGCCTGGGCAGGAAAGTCCATGGGACTCTTATCTCTAGTAAACCACCAGAAAACCGGAAGTGGTGCTGTGGCTCAAGTGATAGAGCGCTAGCCTTGAGCTGAAGAGCTGAGGGACAGCGCCCAGGCCCAGAGTTCAAGCCTCATGACCGCCAAAAAAAAAAAAAAGGAATAAAGGAAAAAAAAAATAAATGGCCCTAGTTTCTGTCCCTTGGAATGCTTGTCTTCCTCTTATGATAAGATTTCTTGTGTGTGTCTGTGTGTTGTATCTGTGTGTCTGTGTGTGTGTCTGTTTGTCCTTTTCCCCCTTCCCCTCAGGAGTCTTTTAATACACACACACACACACACACACACACACATACATATTTATTTATTTATTTATTCATGGATTGGACATAGTCCAAAGAAAAATTGATATTCTACCTCTCTCTTTGTTCAAAAACATTGGTTATCTTCTCAATAGAAGGGAAGATTTTTAAGAACCCCATTAGCTCTGAGCTGACTCATCCAGTCTTAGCAGCCATTTGGACAAGGTTGACAGAAAATTTTGATTGAAATAAGTGCTGAATATAGGATTTGGGGCTGGTTTTCACACTTTGTGTGTTGTAGGTTTGTAGTGAATTATACATTCTTTGGTAGGTTTCTCACTTTATTTTGATTCCCTCTTGTTTGTTTGAAGTATGACTCAGCCAAGTTTTTCAACAACAACAGAAAGTATTTAACGACTTACTCCTTTGCTGCGGATAATATAAACATTTCTTATGTGCAGATGGTGCGGAGTAGGAGTGGTCTAAGGCACAACTGTTGTTACTCTTCAGATACTGCCAGGAAGAAGGGTAGCATTTGTCTGTCTTTTTTTTGCCTGAGACTGGGACTTAAACTTCATATCTGATGCTTTCACTCATTGGCTGGTGCTTTACCACCTGAGCCAAGCCTCCAATCCCTTGTCCTTTTTTAAAGATGTTAGTGGTTAGTCTTCTGAGGACTTTCTTCCCTACCTCATCTACAGTGCATGGCCCCTGGCTGCCACCACCACCCCCCCTTACTGCACTGCAAGCACACCATGAATGATGCAGTGAGCGGTAGAGAAGACTTGACTGTAGTCAGAGGGCCAGGATTCAAGTCTAGACCTCCCTTCCCATTATCTGACTGACTTTGGACCTGATCTCCTCCTTTAAAAAATTAATAGTACTAGACCCTTTCCATAGGGCACATTGATTCCAATGATTAAGAACAGTGTGTGTGGCACCCTGGGAGAGTTTTACAAGGGATCATTAGTACTATCATCACCATTGTGAATCCTTCAATCTGTAATCCATGCATGTTGCTTTGTTGCCATGGTTACCATTTGCCCTACCCCTTTCCCAATTAGAATGTGAGCTCCCAAGGACAGTATGTTGTCTTTCTAGGTTACCTTCATC